TCGGTAAGGTCTTCACCCTTCCCTATCAGAATTATAAATAATAGAAACATTAAAAAGTCTCTTTTGTACTTGTTAATTTTCCAAATTTTCAAAATATTGAAATCTTGTGGCAATTTGACAACGTGAGAAGGACTAAGATTGTGGAAGAGCACGAGATTGATGCAGAAAGAAACAGAAACCCAATAGAGAGCTTCTTCAATAGCATCACGTCAATCTTCCGCTTCTGCTATTTTTCAGTAGATACATCAGAAGAGTTTTAAGAACTTTGATTCTAATCATAATTAAGTATCAGTAAGAGCTCTTGAAATATTTGTAGGAAAAAGAGTACAACTTCACACAAAAGACAGCACCTTCTGACATGAAATTTTGCATATACAATGCAAGTAATAGTGTTGAAGAGAGAAACAGAAACCTACATTGAGGTTTTGAAAGCTTTCATTGCAACTCCATGAGCAAAAACTGAACTTTTCTCACTTGCAAACCTTCAAAGCCATTATTCTCGTATCCACCTTTTCTTTTCCGATATGGTTGTTACTTTTGACCCATGGATTGACTTTTGGGGAGGAAAATAAAAGTACATTGAAGAATACAACTATGAAACAGTTCACTGTAAAATGTCCTATCACTTGCATGGACACTTTATTCAAGAATGTCTATTTCTTAAGCAATTATCATTTGGTTTACTGAACTTGATCACAGAGATTTTATTAAGAGTTAACTCAGAAAAGTTAACAAATATAAGGCCCTCACTTAGCTCTGTGGGCTCCAGATTTGGTCAGGCTGTCAGCTATATACAGTGTTAATTAGTTCTCTAGGGATCCAAACAAGCTTCACATTCAGAGAATTTAAAATGTCTCTAGCTTCAGTCAGTAGATGTGCAAGCATCCAGGGACCTCCAGTCTTCTGTCGTAACCACTTTATTGTGTTAACCGAGTCACCCTCGATAGATAAGGAGGAAAGGCCTAACATTTTGACATAACGGAGACCTGTGAAGGCAGCTAGGATCTCTGCCTCGGTGGCATCAGCTCTCCCGATCGGACCACTGTAAGCCCAAAGGACACTTCCCCCACTCCCACGGATTACTACTCCTCCAATTCCAGCTTTACCAGTGGATCCTTGAGCACTTTCATCAAAACATAGAGCTATCAGGCTTTCCTTCCTAGAACAGGAAGTTTGAGTAGGACCAAACTCAGCCATTTGTAATATTTTCCATGCATATACGATGCCAAAGAAGAAAACTATATTGATCCATTTATGTAAAATTGCATCTGGCACATTGAAGCCTATAAACATTAATTTCATAGCACCAAGTGGTCTTAGACCCCCAAGCAAGAATCCAAAATCATGTCTATTTATGAAAAACACAGAAATAGGCAAAGCATATATAAATGCATGCCTATCTATACAAGTTAAGTGCAACTTCACTCCCTTCTACAAAGCAATATATATAGGGAGATAAAAATGATTATCAATTTCTGTGGGGGGAGAGTTGAGCTCCTAGAGTGGGATAGCAACTCTGATCTCCAACTGCATTTTGATCAATATTGTCAGGGCGGATATGGGGAGTGAAACTATATCTGCTCCTCAACTGAGTACCATCTCAACGTACATTGTTACACGGACTTCATTCTAGTCCAAAGGTTTTCGTTCTTTAAAGATGACAAGATGGTTAGCAATATTTTTCTTAAAATCCAACTGCCCTAACTCGGGGCATAAATTCATATATTGTTAATGGAATTGCAATTGAGCTAGTTGCACTTGGATATCGCATCGTAGATGAAGTGAATATTACAAGTATCCAAAATCACATATCACTTGGATACTTGGATATTAGAAGGTGAAAATCGCAAGTCGCTTGTATGCATATATGGTAAGCTAGTATCGCAGATCGCATTGTGCACTTATCAAAGATTGAAGTAGCCTGATATCCATAGAGGGCAAAAGCCTGGCATCGCTGGGCTTGTAGCAAGAGCTCTCGGGATTTGTAACATCTTAACACAGTTTTGTGGGGATGACTCAATTTAGGGTTTTCTCGTATAAATAGCTTTGTCTTTTCACATAAAGTCCTTTTGTTAGAGGCCAATAAAGAGGGCAAGAGAGTGTTTGAGAAACAGGGGAGGCGAAACTTAGACTGTACTAAGAGCTAATGCTGCGTTTGGAAACAATGTAAATGGAGTGTAAATCCCAGTTCAGGGTAAATTTGTACTCTAGTTCACTTTTGTCTGTATTTGGCAACATTACATTATGACAAATGACAGATCAATGCATATTTACATTGATATAAGATATAATAGTACATCAATAAAAAAAAAGTAAATATGCATTCAAGTGGGCTTTTGAATTTTGATAAAGAAAAAACATATGCTTTATTGGAATTCATGTTTGCATCCATTACAGCTAAAAGTCTGTTGGGTAAGAAGATAAATTTGTCAATGCAAAATGAATCGTTTTACATTCTACATATTTACATTTACACTCATTCGCATTGTTTCCAAACACAACCTAAGGGTTTTAATGGGAGACTGAATACTACAACTGCAAATTTCCATTACTGAATAGTGGAATTATTTTCCTCTAATGTCTATAACCTATGGATATTGATTATAAGTCAAACCACATAAATCTTTATACGTGCTTTGTATTTTTCTATATTTTTTCTTTTTTTTTTTTACATAGCAATCATTTATCTTATTCCTGGGTTTTGTGAGCCTCACAACAGGTTTCAATCCAATTCGATTCAGGATGGATTGGATTAGGGTTGAGGCCTTGCGCAACCACCTGATCATTAAAATCAGGTTATTCAGATTTGATTCTTTCAGAAGACATAACTCAGAATGTAATTCAATTAACTAATGTGCGGATCATTTAAAAGTGCATGCCAAGTGACATGTTTGTAGCTGTACTAATTTCTGCAAAAAAGGACGTAGCTGTACTTAATTATCACTATCCCTAGGATTACTCTGCTATTATAGAAATTATCATTACCTCTATTTTCTGTTTTTCTTCTGATTCTGCCCTATGTACCGTGAGCCAATAACAACACTACTCAGATTGTATTCATGAATAGATGGTTTCTACAACTACAAAGGCTGAAATCTATGCTTTTCGTGTTATAGAAAGTAGAAACGAATTGAAAATCTAGATAGTTCAGTGTAAATAGTCTAGTGATTTGGAAACTTTTAGCAGCCAAGTCTGTATCTCTACAAATGGTTTTAGATAGAACTGGATTGGCAACACTACCAACAGCAACTGCAAGATTTTGAGAATAGTGGTATTGTTCCAAAATGCAGGAATTTAGGCTTGCATCCAAATCACAGATTTCCATGTGTGCTTAACAGAGTCCGTCATTAGTACAACAACAATATTTATTTATTGTTATTATCTCATTTAATTTATGTAGCCCATGAATCCAAAAATTGCACATTTGTTTCTTCTCCCTTCCTATTTTCATTCTTCACTAGTGAATGACCTAAGTACGGGGAATCAGTAATATTAAATTTATATTATGAAATCAATAATGTTAAATTTATATTTATTAATATTTTAAATAATTATTAAAGTTCTAAGAAATGTTTATTTCAAAAAATAGTTTTTCAATAATTATTAGAATATGGATTGAAAATGGTTGTAGATAATTAATTTTGCATTTTTTAAAGAATGAATTGAAAATGGTGATAGTGGATTGTGGGCTTTAGCAGCAACTTCTCAGAAATTGCCACATGTCTAGCTTTCCAAAAAAATGAGAAGGCCATGTATTTGAATGGTGAAGAGCTGTAGCCTGATAATGGGTTGTGGGCTTTAACAAGAATTTCTTACAAATTGCCACGTCTCTAGCTTTCTAGAAAATGAAAAGGCCACTTGTCTGAATGGTGATAGTGGGTTATAGGCTTTAACAGCAAATTCTTAGCAAATTCTATAAAAACAATTTCAAATTTTTCTCATTTTAGTTTTTAAAAAATAATTTCAATTTTTTTACTAATAAACCAAGAACCACTACTCAGATCAAACAATTCAACAGGTCAACCATTCGGGTCAGCAGTTTGTTGACTGAGCCAACAGTTTTTTTTTTTTTTTTTTGAAAAATGCCGGGCGAGGTGGAAAGCGGAACCAAATACGTAACCAGTTTCTCGATTGAACAATTCGACCGCCTGGGTCAATTTAAAACCATGATTTACCTTCGCTACATTCTATGAATAAATAATAATGAACAAAGAAATCTTTTTCTCCCACATTAATCATGTTAGCTAGAATCGAATTAAACAAGGACTACAAACTCTAATGTAAAAGCTACCATAGGAAAAAAGAAACTGATTATAGCTTTAAAAGTGTTTTTCTATGATTGGTAAGCTGGATTGTACAAAGGGAAAATTTCCGATTAGTACCATGTACTTTTGGCCTAGTGCCACTTTGGTCCCCAAACTTTAAAATGCGACAATTCAGTATCCGAACTTTCAAAAACATGGCAATCCAGTACTTGTTGTTAATTAATTAACCAACCGATAAGTGGCATTTGAAAAGACACAAATGCCCTTCAAGTGTCATCTAATTTTCTTTATCAACCATCCAAACATTGACAAAAAATTAACAATCTCAAGTTCTTGCCTCTTCTATTCAAGAAAGTTGGTATCACCAGAATGCCCACTCAAACGTGACCCCAACTTTCTTGAATGGAAAATGCAAGGATTTGAGACTGTTAATTTTTTGTCAACATTTAGATGATAGATAAAGAAATTAAATAACACTTGAAGGGCATTTGTGTCCTTTTCAAATGCCACTTAACGGCTGATTAACAGCTATTTAACAACAGGTACTAGATTGTCACGTTTTAAAAGTTTGGGTACTAAATTGTCGCATTTTAAAGTTTAGGGACCAAAGTGACACTAGGCCCAAAGTACAGGGTACTAATTGGGAATTTTCCCTTGTACAAATAAAATGCCGTCCTTCAAAGAGCCACATTTTTCCAGTCTTCAAATTTTTATTATTTTTTATTTTGTAAAAACTTTACATGCAACACACGTTCCCTTTTATAAGCAATGTAAAAATCTAGTATATACATAATATTAAGACACGACTACAAGATAACACAAACATTTTACCACGAGGCCTAGTGTTACATCTTAATGCCCCAACAGAGCACCTGGACTTCAAGTAATCCAGGCAAAAATTATCAGGAGAAAATAAGAATGATTACAAGATATCTTTACCTTGTATTCTAATGTTCCAAACTGCTACTCGAATAGCAGCAGGGCTCGAAGTCACCCAGGCAGAAAGCATCGAAGAACGGATCACCCAGGTTTGCAATGCCTGAAAATACATCAAGCAGATTATTTGTCTCATAATCAAATCTGATTGAATTGCATGCAGATATGATCATCTTAAAGGACAATAGAGAAAAGCACATGTAAGTGGTTCAAACAGCGAACATCAACCAAAAGCAAACTTACCTCTACTTTCTCTTCAAACTAAGGATCAGAGATGAACAAAAAATTGAAAGAATCATCAACAAATATTACAACAGAAATGCTTGCGGAAGCTTCTTGCCTGAATTGATACAAAATGCATCTATTAATATTCTCAAAATCAACTTTGAGTACTCATACTTGTTTGGAAACAAAATATAAAGTTGAACAAGTTTATCGACTACATACCAGTCATCTCCACAAGCTGAACTACAAAAAGCAACAATCATGTTTCTTCACTTGACTCCACTGCAGTTGAACAATCAGGAACCTCAACTGTTGAGTTAAGATAGGAGGGCCCATCCTCCACGAAAGGAAGTAGCCTTCCTAAATGTAAGCTGTCTATGACCCAGGTAGCTGGCTGCATAAAAATGCTCAAATATATATATGCAAGCAGCTAACCAACAAAGCCAAGTAAGATCCCAATAACCGGAAATATCCAGCATGTTGTTATACTAACCATCATGGGTAGCTTTTGCTCCAAAGCACAGTGCCTCAAATGACGTGATGCCCTACTTACATCCTCAGCAACAATAACACCCACAGAATTTTTTCCGTTCTGCAAACTCTGGATTAACCACTGGAGAGTTCTGAACACCTGTCCTCCACCATGCTAAGCATCCAACAGGGATGGATCGAAAGAAAAGATAATATCAGAAATGCAATCACAAGAATGGTGGAAATATGACAATAACAAGCAGCAGTCCAACTTACAGAACTAAAAAGTGTATGACAAGATCAAGGGATGCCTTAACCAAACATAGAAATAAAAACCACTTTGCAAATTAAAGTCCATATTGATGATACAAGACCATATAATATCCATTTAGCATTTTTATACATTCCCACTATTAACTCCAATATGAAATTGAAAATCCAAATTACCCATGACATATCAAAGCAGCTTCTTCAAGAAGGCTTTAAGCTCATAACCATGGTTAGCCGGTTAATGTATTTCAACTTCTCTGTCATCCTTGGATAATAGAAATTTAAAACTTGTTTAAAATTAATATGCATATACAGTACAAGCTACAAGTGGGATTAGTACATCTTCCCTAATGCACAGATTCAGGGAACCCAGTTTAAAGAATAACCTGTTAGTCAAATCAATGCAGGTGCGGACTACAGAGAAAGAAGAATAAGGCTGAGAGAACCCAAGATGTGGAAGAAATTTCGAAAGTTTGGCTCACAAGGTTCTCTAGGGCACGCTAGCTATCACTTCAAGCAAGTTGGATATCTGTCCTAAGCCCACCTCATATTCCACTAGGAATGAAATCTTGATGCTAAAGTTTCTTCAGGTTTTGCAAGTGTCAATATGGCATTTACGTAAATACTGTTCTTGTTGGTTTTATATGTTTTAAGAGTTTGACTATGATGCCGAAAAGGCATCATACTGGAAAAACTTATAGCCAATAAACCACCATCATAAAAGTAGTAACCAACCAGGTGGGCTTCTATCAAAATTCATGGGGGCTTTTGATTGGTCAAAGCCCCTTCCAGTATCATGTCTTTCCCGCATCATGGCTTTTTCCATGTTTTAAACTTGTTTTTTACTTTAGAAGATATTAAAGGGTAGATTGTATCCAGTCCATATTTTTTTTGTAAATAAATACCTGATTTGTACTATCCCTACTATTTATTGTTTATTGTTAAAAAAGTTATGATTTACTAATGGTCATTGCTTGGTTCAATGGTAGACTCTAGTTTTTACAAGCATGAGAAAAAAGGATTCAAGTCAGATATACCATACATTAGATATATATCCAATCCATCCTTCCCAAGACCCCAGATAGCAGGGACCAGATTTAGGTAATGGCCCCTTGTAAAAAATATGGTTTACAGAATTTTATAAGTTCTGTTTTTCTTAATTCAGATGGCAAGGAGTTTCTGTTCAAATTCGCAGGAATTTTATTTTTCTGTATTTTTTTATTGAATAAATGAGCATAGGAGTCATCAAATCTACATATAAGACCCCTTACTGTAATCAAAACTGAGTTGAATATGGAATAATTTTGTCTCAAGCCGTTCTTGTATGGTAAGTTACAAACTAGTGCAATCTCTCTCTTCTCTCTGGTCCTACAAATTATATCTGAATCTGTTCTTTTCTAACATATCTTTCTCTAACTCTAATGTTTTCTTCCTATCCATTCTCACATCCAAATCTTCACTTACACCAGCAAACAGCATATATAGTTTCAGAAGACCCTCTTCTTATGCAATGTCAAAAACTTAGATGCAACCAGTATCACACAAATTCCTGCTTAACAAGTCAACCAAGAATGAAACTTGAAGGTCAAATTATCAAATTAACGAGTGTTTTATTCATATCAATTATCAAATTCTATACAGAGATATCTAAACCCTTGAAGGTCAAATGTTCCCAAAGTTTGTACTCAACTTATTGTCGTAACTCGTAACTAAGCCACTCTTATCTCCCTTCCACCACATATAGCAGCTTAAGTGCATAAAGACAGCAGGAACTAAATGATGACGATCATGATCATTTGGTATATGTATAAGGAGAAATTTGTTAATTAGAAACAGAGCATCAAGGAAGAACAAGATAAAAAAGCGAGTTATTAAAACCAAAAAATGATTACTTATGTCCAGATCAAGTCCTCACCTTAACAATATTTGCCAATTTAGTGCAAAAACTGTGTCTTCCATGGAGCATGACACCAACTCTATCAAATATGTAGGACATGTTATCACAACAAACCGAGCGGCCTATTCTCCTGACCTTGGCATTAGTTTGATTTTGTAGAATCATGTATCTTCTGGAGAAAATCAACCTAGAAAACTTAGTCGTGGAAATAATTGATACATATGCTTCATGAAGAGGTGGAACAAATGCATGTCTAGTAATTTTTTTGGTTGTTGTTCATCTCTTCAGTTTTTCCTATTTGCAGCACTGTGATCATATTTATTTTGGTCATGATGAATACACAAGGAGACAACACAGACTCATTTAGACTCAGTATAGCGGTATACCAACTAATTAGAACTTCTTGTTTCCATAAATGTTTCAAAAGAGTAAATACAAGGAGTACATGGTTAACAGTTCAATGGGTACAAAGATCAACCAATAGTTTGGCTGATACCCTAGCTAAAGTAGTCAATAGACAGCAACTCTTTTGGGTTCAATTGTAAACGATTCTATCGGGGGGAGGGATAGGTGGGCTATGCCCTCATCATGTGAATGATATGTTCTGTTACAACATCACGTTGTAATATTTATAAGTTGATTTATTTAGAAAATTCATGCTATTCATCAAAAATAAGATTTCAAAAGTAAAAAACGATATTAGCCCTCGTAGCCTGCAAATCACCAAACGATAAAAACTAAACAGGGTTACTTTAGTTAATTGGTGCAGATTAAACCTTTTTCTTCGGTTTATGCTGATGTCCATACCAAAATAAGGGTGTATTCAATCTTGCATCCTTTTACCTAGAATCAACTACTTGGCACCAGAGCAACTTTAAATTTTTTTTCTGGTGCGATGGGTTCTGCCAATTACTGATATCATCTGACAACTATGATGATATCAGCACACCATATAGATGGTATTGACTGCTGAAACAGAAAACCCTGGATCTGAATATGCCCTGATTTTAGAAGAATTTTGGTGTAGAAATCAAGAGAATTAGAGACCATTTGAGCATTTTTTATGATTTAATAAAAATTTGGTGTTTTATGTCAGTGCAATACATTACTGTAGTTCAAAACAACCAGTAATAGTAGGACCATAAAAACCAGCATTAAATGAGTAATGTATGATAGAAGGAACTTACTTATCTGGATTTAACATTGAACCCGCCACAATTGAATCAGTAAGCCAATTATCTTTCAGCAAGAAGGCATTTACCGCACAACCATATAAGAATTTGGTTGTTTCTAACTGCCAAAATACATGAAAAAGAATTAGTTCCTCGTAAGAGTTCATCTTAGCTACCAAGGCAATGGTCTTTTTCTAATAAATTCCATATGTCTAAGCATTTCTTTAGACGCATGCATAGTTGTCAAGGCGGGCGCCCTTGGAGGCACACCTTGCCTAATCGCCAAGCAGTTTTCTATAGCATGTTATAAAAAACTTTTATATTCTTACTTTTTTGAGGTTATAATTATAAAATAGACATTTTTAAACTAAAATATTCATTTTGTGTGTTTATACACTGATTTCTTTTTATTATTTTCTTATTTGTTAGGGTTTAATCAACACAAACATTGCTAAATGCTGTATTGAATCCTCAAAGACTTCAAAACCTGAACCAATAAGTAAGGAAGAACATAAAATGTTGTCCAATCAACACAATTTCTTCTTTTTCTTTACTAATTGTGCGTGTTTATATACTGTCAAAAGACTGGTTAAAGAGTGTTTTTTCTTATGTTTTTTATTTCTATTAGTGTCGCAGGGGTATTATTGTAATTCCCCTTGTCTTTATGTTATGTTCAGTCACCCTAATATAAATATTAAAAAGCTGGCGCCGCCAGCAACTTTTTGATGCTCTCAAATCTCTCTCCTCTCTTCTCTCTTTCTCTCCTCTATCTTTTCTTCACTTCAGTTCTGGACAAGATGGTATCAGAGCAGGACTGTTGGATCTGAAAGAAGAGATTGAGCAAACCTTTTACTGACTTCTCCCTTCGCCAGATCTAGATCCAGATTCATTGAAGATCTAGATCCAGATTCAGATCGGACTGAAGTACTCTCTCTCCCTTTCTCTTTTTCTTTTTTTTTTCTGGTCGTGTGCCAGAACAGAACCTGTAATAGGTTCAGTCTGTCAATGTGAGGCGAACAGTCCCTCCTCTTTCCTTTTTTCTGGGATTGGCTGATCCCTGTAACAAACTGTAGGTTGGTGATGACCTTTATATGCTGCGACAGCAGCCTTCTGGTGAACTTGTAGGTCAGGGGATGACCTATATATGCTGCAACAGCAGCCACACTTGATTTGTAGGTCAAGAGAGGACCTGTACATACTGCTACAACAGCCATACAAGATTTATGGTAGGCTAGTGATGACCTGTGAGTTCGGTAACAGCATCATAAGGATGGCCGGACCCTGCAAGAAGGTTGGGCGAAATTTCAAAAATTTCTTTACTCCAATCCGGGAATCCTTTTCCCAATTTAGAAAACTGCATTTTCAAGGTTCGTTCTTGTAACCAAACCAGACTAAATCTGAAACCAAAAATAGGGAGGGATATACGTGATACGGAATCCACGCAAGAATGCTCCTCCCAACGTAGGTGTTCACGCCCAAAGAGTGTACCAAATCCTCCCTCCACTGAAGATGACAGCTTGGGATGAGGCAGGATCAGCAGGTAGTTCTTCACCAAGAACTAGTGATTCTTCAGCAAGAATCGAATGGGATAGTGAGCACAGCTTCTAAATTGTTTCTTCTGGCAAGAAACAATATCAAGATCGAATCTTTGATCAAATCCAATAACTGGAGATCGAACAGGGTAGGGCGGCAAGAGTAGGAAGAAAAAGAGCTGAAGGCAAGATCAGTCTAACTGAGTTGTCTTCTCTCTGTATTGAGTGAGTGTGAATTCAATATTCGCCCTGCTCTATTATTTATAGCCGTAAAGAGACAATTTCCTAATCTCATTAAGAGTTTCTTGATCCAAATCTTTATTTGGATCTAGACTCTTTAAGTGATAAGGATAATCCCTTATCTTATCTGCAGATAAAGATCGGCTTTCATAATCAAATTAGGAGTTCCTTGATCCAAATCTTTATTTGGATCTGGACTCTTTAAGTGGATAAGGATAATCCCTTGTCTTATTTGCTGATCCAAATCCTAGATCCGCCCCTATTTAATTAATCTAATTAACCCAGTTCGAAATAGGCTTTTAGGCCCATTAAGCTTTTAGGCTCACTTCCAGTTTAAGGGTATTACACAGAAACACACCATAATAACATGAATCAAATATGTACTTTATTCATTTACAATAAATGTCATAATGTACATCATGTTGATTGGAGCTAAGGGCATACACTGTCTAATAGTAGTGACTGAAGTACTATAGTTGACCTAGAAGGTGGCTGCCTGGTTCTTTTATTATTCCTGGTGCAATTTTTTTTCCCCCAAAATTAACACCGTGTGTGAAAGGGAAATAAGTTTGATTATTCAACCTCTTCTAGTGTAATCTAAACTAGCTATCATGAATAGTGACATATGTTGGGACCCTCATGGGAAGCCAAAATGGACTCAGGAATTGAGTAAGAAACAAGGTTCAGACCTGCATAAGAGGCTAAGCCAGCAAGATCCAAGAAAATTCATTGCAGCAACCATGGCTACTCAAGAGACCCAGCCTACTACTACTACAGTTCAAACATACACAACTGGTTCTGACCCTAGGGAGGATATCATTAATTCCTTCCGTGATCATTTAGAGCTTTATTGTAGGGCAATTCGCCAAATGGATGCCCCCCCCCCCTCCATCAACTTCATATGCGTCTACACCAGGTAATTCTGCCACAGCTCTCCATGTATCGTCTCATTCCTCTGACTCTCCTTTGGATAATTGATTCTGGAGCGTCAAAACTTATGACCGGTAAGTCTACCTACTTTCAAACCTATCATCTTCTCTCTGGAAGAGACAAAGTCAGGCTGGCTAATGGTTCATTCTCTACCATAGCTGATCAAGGGACAGTTTCTCTTCCCTTTGGCCCTACACTCTCTGATGTTTTACATGTTCCTCAATTCCCTATTAATTTGTTTTCTGGTAGTAGTATAATCAATTCTTTAAATTGTTCAATAACCTTTTTCCCTTCTCATTGTGTAATCCAGGATTTGGACTCGGGAAGGTGATTGGTAGAGGGCGTATGGTGGATGGTGTCTACTTGCTGGAGAATAAGGCTGGCCTTGTAGTCATTGAGTCTAAGAGTAAATCTAGTAAGAATCAAGCCTATTTATTGCACAATCGTCTTGGTCATTTATCCTTTGATTCCTTAAAGATTGTGTTTACAGAGCTGTTTAAGTCAATGTTGATATGTCAAACTTGTCAATTGAGTAAACATTGTAGAACTCATTTTTCTTCAAAGAATACTAAATCTGAATTTCCTTTCCATATTGTCCACTCTGATGTTTGGGGCCCAGTCACTCTAACATCTGAAAGCGGCTACAAGTATTTCATTACCTTTATAGATGATTATTCCCAGTATACATGGGTATACCCCATGAGAACTAGGGATGAAGTACCAAAAATTATCCAAGACTTCCAAAGAATGATTTTCACCCAATTTCAAACCGAAATCCAGATCTTCCAATCTGATAATGCCAAAGAATACTTTCATAATGACCTTACGGAGTTCTTTACTTCACATGGATCTCTCCACCGTAGCTCCTGTGCTCGAACACCACAACAAAATGGTGTTGGTGAAAGAAAGAACCACCATCTTCTTAAAGTAGCTCGGGGACTACTGATTCATATGAACGTCCCCAAACGCTTTTGGCTTGAAGCTATCCTTTGTGTTGCCTATCTCATTAACCGTATGCCGTCTCGGTGGTTAGAGTACAAAACCCCGCATCAACTTCTGTTTCCCAAGGCTCCTCTTTTGTCTATTCCTCTTTGTGTTTTTGGTTGTCGTTGCTTCGTTCAAAACCTGTCACCCACTCGTGGGAAATTAGATCCTCGTGCTATTCCTTGCATATTCTTGGGATACCCTTCAAATCAAAAGTGGTACCGGTGCTTTGATCCCGTTTCTCGGAAATATCATGTTTCCATGGATGTCACCTTTTTTGAGAGTGAACCTTTCTTTCTTGTTTCTCCTCAGGGGGTGTGTAGGCATGAGGACAAACAAGTTCAGAACCCTCCTCTACCTCAGATTCAGCTCCCTCCTCTACCTGATCCTCCTCCCTTCCGTGTTTTCTATCGTCGTCATAAAGGCCAACCAAGTTCAAGAGCTATGGAGCATCAAGAAGCTGTACCACCAATGCCATCACATTCTCCAGAGCATCAGGTATAAGGCATGGAACATATGAAGTTTTTTATAATAAAGAAAAGATAAAAATAAGAGAGATACGACTAAGTGGTGACAAGATATTACCCCCATCAAACAATAACTGAGCCAAACCTACACCCCTCCAATGAAAATCCACCTTTCCAAACAAAAAAAAAAAAGAAAAACACCCCTATAACCACAACACCTGAAATGCTTATTCTCAACT